ACAAGGTGGTTCTCTTGGACTGAACGCCTCTCAAGGCACCAAATGTAGAATCAGCATCATCTATTACTATGGCAGATTTTTTGGACGAGTTACATTCCTTAGTTCCATCAGCTCAGATCTTCACAGGAGCCGCCATGCTATGTTTGCAAATCATCCCCGTTCTCTTCGGGTTTCTTCGAAGAAAAGCATGTTCCACTCAGACAGCTTCTTCGGCAGAACTGTTACTTTGTATTAGTTGCCCGATGTCAGTTTCTTCTTTTATCAAATATCGCGTCTTTACACGTCACGTTGGTTATTTTTTTATTTTTTATTTTTTCTGTATCGCGTATCCACGTATCAGTTTATGCTATTTAATGTGGGCTTAAGTTGTAAAACATATTTACTATGTTTGTACCTAAATTTGATTACATTTTATTGATGTCGGGTTGTTTGTTTATGTGCTTAATTCTTCTAGTATTTGTTTTGTCTTTGTTGTGGAGGATTTTTTTCAGGTTATGTCATATAACATTTTTATGTGAGTGGTATAAATTTGTCGGATTTCCGGGTGTATTTTGGCGTAATTTTCGTTGGTGATATGCGTTGTAATCGAACTACTGTCATAACTGGTAAGTTAGCGTGCTAATGTAGTGATTGCGTAACCAATGTACCTGCTATTTGAATTACATACTATATAAGGGTGGACAACTTGGACTAAGGAGTAGCTTATAGTGAGTTCTGTTCTCACTGTAAACCCGGATTTGTGAGCTTACGTAAACGTAGAAAATAAACCTCCTCCCTCTCTCTCTCCTCTCTCTCGCTTTTTCCCACTCTCTCTCCTCTCTCTCCCTCTCTTTCCCACTCTCTCGACTCTCTTCCCCACTCTTTCCCCCCCTCTCTCTCTCTCTCTCTGTCTTTCTCTCTCTCTCTCTTTCTCGTCCTTGAACAAAAACAGCAAAGCAAACAAGAAACTCGGATAGTTTATCCACAATTTCGAACGCAATATACAACACCTTTCTTTCCGAAATGCATGTATGTATGGTTGTATATATATATATATATATACACACACACACACACACACACACACACATACATACATGCATGCATATATATATATATATATATATATATATGCATGTATATATATATATATATATATATATATATATATATATATATATATAGAACAAAAATTTTGTACCACAGAAATTTAATATGTCTTTGAAAATAACAGAACGCATTCTTTCAAAGGGACCGTTTTCGTCCAACACGAAAATGGTAGACACGGGGAGTAAATAACGAACCACGAATAAAATCAATTTATTGCTAAAAATAAACAAATAGGTGTAAATAAGTTCCTAGTGAGTATAAAACATTTCAAAAAGAATTACTCACGACCCACCCATGAAACATAGAGAACGAAGAATGTTCTCATTCTGCTTGCAAAAAGTCGGTCGACGCTTGATGTCAAACAGCTTCTAAAAACCGTAAATGTTTAACCGCCCGAGTCCTATGCAGCACCCTAAATGCTCCATCAACCCGTTTTCGAATATTTCTGCAGAAGTGTTGGAAGAAAAGGTGCCTTTAAAAGAATGCGTTCCGTCATTTTCAAATCGACATATATATATATAGTGATTTTCCAAGCGTAGCTTAGATGTGGCACAAGGCCGAAAGTAAGGGGCACCCAGTGAGGATTGAACTCACTACTCAGTCGTAATTGTTCTAGCGAGACAAGCTTGCTAACCATTACACCAGCCCGAGGTGCCCATACCGAGATATATATATATGTGTAGTGTGTGTGCGTGTCTGTGTCTGTGTACATATATCAATACACTGGCGTGCGAAGGTTTTAACCAAGCTACATAAGATGATTATACACCTTTATTTTATTAAGAAGATTGTTTAGCTGTACGCTCTTATCAGTGGTGTCTGTGGGGCTTGAGGATTGGAAAATAAGCTGTTGCATTTTCGTTGATGCCGGGTAACAGAAGATACACCACTTTAGCTGCTTGAAGCTGAAAAAAAAAAAAGGTCACGTAAAACTATTGCGCTAATGAAATATCTGAGACGATAAAATCATAACTAATTATTAACACGAGTGTAAGGTGCCTTGGCAAGTCATTGCAGTTGAACATGACCTTGCCTTTTTACACTAAAATCATGGTAAAATTTCTGCTGAAACAAAGATGAAGGTTATTTCATTGAAGATAACTCAAAGGGAGATAACCGGGCGGCTTGAAATTTCCAGAAAATGTTAAAACCCTCCAAAAGACGTTTGCTACTATTGGAAGTGAAAGACTAAGAATTTCGGTAGGCAATTCAAAATTAACAGCCAGGCAAAAGACGAGTGGATGTTGCCTTAGCAGTGAATTGTTTTGTTGATAGAGTACGCAGAGTATCACGTATCAAAACAAAAAGAAATTTGAATGGCGTATAGCAGAAAAAACAAACATTATTAACCAAAAATCATGAGAACAGAAGATGGAAGTGGTCAAAAGAACATCTAACATGGGATGTTGGA